TGCTATTTAAGACACAGCTGGAGGCGAGGGCGATAAGAGATGGATTCATACCTTCCCAAGAGTATTTGTGACAATCTTACTTAAAGAAGTGTATCCATACAAAATAACGTACAGTCAGAAAATATATTAAAATAACTGTCGGGTTTAATCAATTTCCTATGATAATTCAGAACAAATATGATAGATCGAGAAAGATAGGCGAAAGTCTGTGTTTAAAAGCGTTGATTCGAGCTTTGTTTAACCAGAACTTCTCTGTGGCTGAACGGTTATAGCACGTCAGGTTTAATGGTGGAGTTTTTCATACGATGCAGGTTCGATTCCTGCCGAAGAAATTTCTCGATCTTTCAGGCCGGTAAATGTAATTAATAATATTTAATTAAATAACAGAGAATTTACTTAAATAAGTGCATCCATAAAAAATAACGTGTAAACAGAAAATATATTAAATAATTGTCGGATTTAATCCATTTCCTATTATATATATATATAGGGTGTCGATAAAGTTCGTGTGCACTTTAAAAAATTTATAACTTTATTTGTATTTGTGATAGAAATAATTTGTAAAAAGGATTAGAAAGAAGTAATTTTAAGGTTTTACTGAAATATTATTTAAGTTTCCACATGTCCTCCATCATTAGCAAAACAAAGGGTAGTACGATTTTGCAGTTTACGGAAAACATTTGCCAACTGATTTACAGTAATGCCTGAAATCACATTAGTTATTTAAGCTATACTTAAAACTATGTACATTAAACTTTATAAGATTTCTTACACCCTGTATATATATATATATATATATATATATATATATGTGTGTGTGTGTGTGTGTGTGTGTGTGTGTGTGTAAGTATGTGTGTGTACTGTGCGGCCTAGTTTCCAATAGCTGTTACAAATGACGTCACGCTAGACCATTTCAAACGTCCAGCTTCCCAAAGAATACCAGGATGCAGACAAAGGAATTCTACCTACCACACAAACACCACACTGGTTCTTGATAATGACTGCGCGAAGTCGAAAGTACAGTACGTAAACAAAAATAACAACGTCGGACAGTTTATATACAACTTCAACTCAAAATATTATCCGAAAATTGGAAAAATATAATAATAAATTAAACAGACCTTGATCGGTTCTATTTATAATTGGTATATAAAATCAAGAAGCCTATATTAAATGATAATTTATTTAGATATATGGTTAGGTTAATAATAGAATATATAGTTGCGTATATTTTTGCATGTATTTACAAATAAAGATTTCTGTTAGACCTTGCTTGCATCGTACAATCTGACATCTTACCATGATAGCTATTATCATTATTTTTTTTAATAAGGATGGATGTTATAAGAACAAATATAAATGGTTTATTACATATATAAATATATACTGAAATATTTAACCAAATCGGTCCTTAATACCAATTGTATTTCGAAAACCTCAATCATCAATCATAAAGTTAAAATCGTGTATATATATATATTATAATAAAAAGTATTAACATATATATCTGTAATTCACTGCTACCAACAAACAGAATTTTTTTTCTCCTGATGATGGCCATGTTGGCCGAAACTAGTCGTGGAATCTAAATGAAATAATAATAATAAAAACGAAAGAATATTAATATTAGTGTGCATGAAGATTTTAATTTTTTAATATTTTTTATTGTTCAATATATATATATATATATATATATAAATGTGTGTGTGTGTGTGTGTGTGTGTGTGTGTGTGTGTATTTAGGCAGCACTCCTTCTTTCATGCACATTTCATTGAATACGACAGACAAGGTGCTTTTATTTAGTTTTTTATACAATTTCTCATATGATCTAATTTTTTTTTCTTCTGATAAATTATATAAAACCTGTCCGAAAGTTCTTTTTATCCGAGCGCTTTCGGCTATACATTTAGCCATTTTCAAGGATTAAATATTTAACTGATAAATAAGAAATAGTTTGTTGCATGTATGTATTTATATAATGTTTTAATTTTTCAAAATACGGTAAAGATATTGTGTCAATGTTCATAGTTCATATTATTAAGTGTTATTTACTTTTTTATTAATAAGGCTTCCATTATTTTTAACCTTTTTTTTCGCATGTAGGTGATGCTATTACATATATATATATATATATATATATATATATATATATATTATGAAATGGACTACGTCTGACAACTATTTTAATATATTTATTGTTTATACGTAATTTTTCGAGATACATACATTTAAGTAAATGCTCTGTTTATAATAAACAATATTAACAACATTTACCAGCCTTTTAATATGAGTGTTCGAGAGAAATCATAGGAAATTTGTAGTTTAAAAGCAGTAATTCGATCTTGCTACACAGACGCTTTCTCTGCAGCTAAATGGTATAGCAACTATATGATGGTATTGTGTAGAGCACTGGTTCGATTCCTGTCTAAGGACACATATTCTCTAGGAAATTTCTCGGATATTCAGGACGGTAAATGTTGTTAATAGTTTATTACAAACAGAGCATTTACTTAAATAATTGTATCTAGAAAAATAACGCATAAACAATATATATATATATATATATATGTGTGTGTGTGTGTGTGTGTGTGTGTGTGTGTGTGTGTGTGTGTGTAAGCAAATATATGGATATAGATCCGACAGTATGAAGAAAAATATATACGGAAAAAACAAACAAAAATCCTTATATACAATTATGCTGTTTTAATGTATTTGCCATGTTGTATTGATAATGTTATAATTTATGAATATGTCCTGAAGATGGTTTATTAGACCGTATATATTTTTCTTCATATATATATATATATATATATATATACCGTCTCATCCAAAGGTATTGGAAGTGCGAAACTAATTCCTTTGTTTTTGTTGTTCACTGAAAACATTTGAAGATCAAAGATGAATATGAGACAAGAGTTCAGGATTTCAGTTTTTACATCCTGGTATTTACATTTAGATTTAAACAGCTTAGAACATACCAGTATTTGAAACAGATCACCCCATTTTAAGGTGAGCTAACTAAAGGAACACATAGTCTTAAAGTAAATAACATTTAATATTTGATTGCATAAATCTTGCTTGCAATAACTGCATCAAGCCTGCGCTCCTTTGACGTCACCAAAACTTGTATTCTTCATTTGTGACGATTTTTTTCTAGACTTTTAACGCAGGCTCTTTCAGTTCTTGTTTCTTTCGGAGAGTTTCTTCCTTCAGTCTCCTCTTCAAGAGATGAAATGCATGCTCTATTACGTTACGGTGACTGACATGGCCAGTCTAAAACTGCCCACTTCCCCCACCCCCGATGAAGTATTTAGTTTTATTGGCAGTATATTTTGCGTAATTGTCCTGCTGCATGATAAACTTCTACCTGATTAGTTTGGAAGTATTTCTCTGTAAATTAGCAGACAAATGTACCAATTCATTCTGCTATTAGCATCATGAGTTACATCATCAATAAATATGAAGACTAAAACAAAGAGTAGTTATTCAGAGCTATTTAATGTTTATACAATCAATCTAAAAGGCATCACCTCAGCAACAAAAGCCTGTAGGTCACGTGTTCCACTAGTTTTGCGCACTTGAAAAATGGGTGGGTTCAAACAAAAGGTGGTCTCTCCTAAGTTGTTTAACACATCTAAATGTAAATACCACAAAATAAAAGCTGAAACTCTGAATTCTTGTCTCATATTTATCTTTTGATCTTAAACCCAAATATCTTCAGTAAACAACGAAAACAAAGGAATTGCCCTTGCCGTTCTAATACTTTTGGATGGGACTATATATATATATATATATATATATATATATATATATATATAGTTGTATATTTAGGCAGCAATCCTCCGTTTATGCATGTTTTATTAAAAACGACTGACAAGGTACTACGGTTAAGCTTTTTATTTAATTTTTCTTGTGTTCGAACAAGAGCTTTCTTTTCTGGACAAAGAGTGTGTAAAAACTGTCCAAATGTTTTATATTTCCGAGCGCTTTCGGCTATACCTTTAGCCATTATCAAGGATGATTCGATTTTTCAGCTTAATTGAGTGTGTGCATTATATGTATGTTTTAGTGTGTTGTGGGAATGTTTTAATTTCCGAATACGGTTAGCACATTGTGGCCTTGTTCGTAGTTAATATTGTTAAGAGTTGGCCTTTTTCTTTTTTATTATGGAAGCTTTAATAATAAAAAAGAAAAAGCCAACTCTTAACAATATTAAAAATTGAAAGACTGTTTTTGAAGCCGAAATTGCTAGTTTTTCAGTGGTTTGCTGATAAGGAGTCATTTAAGGCAAGAAGGCTTTGTTGAAAGAGTGCTCAATATCGAAGATGGGGATAGAGCGTTAATAAACTTTAAATTCATATTAATTCTCTCTCTCTCTCTCTCTCTCTCTCTCTCTATATATATATATATATATATATATATATATATAGAGAGAGAGAGAGGGGGGTAGCTAACTAGATAGATAGATAGATAGATAGATAGATAGATAGATAGATAGATAGATAGATACATAGATAGATAGATAGATAGATAATGTGCACAAAGTGGAATAAGGTAAAGGTGCCGAGCAGTAAAGTCATGTACATTAAAAATAAGTATGCAACTGCGAAAATACAACATTTGAAATGGAGGTTCAAATTTAGAGAAGATGAAAGCCTACCCACCCCTCAACGACCAAATAAAAAAGAGGAAAAAGAGGAAAGTGTGCAAATAAACAAACAAACAAAAAGAGTCAGACTGAGAGGGAAAGAGAGAGAATGAGAAGGGGAGAAAAGTAAAATTTGCCTCGGCCAAAAAATAAATAAATATGTAAACAAATAAAGATTAAAAAAATAAATAAACAAACTAAAATTCAGTCGAAAAAATATCATGAAATATGTTCCCGCCTTGTTGCCGACGATGCTTTCAGTGGCGAAATAAATCAAGTAAAATGATACTCTTGATGATAAATTGGCCCGGCGCCAGAGCTCTTCGGTTTATATATCCATCGCCTCGCCAAAATGAAGTGTCTTAGCAGGCCGGCTCTCTTTGCCACCGGTAGGCTTTGCGTGCGTTCCACATTCTCATCCTCTCTTACGTTGGGTTTTTTTTTAACGTAAACTATAAACAAAAAAGAAAAAAAAAACATGGCGTACCCTCGTACCTTCCAAGCCTTTCTTCCTTCCTTCTTTCCTTCCTAATTTTCTCTTCTCTCTCTTTTTTTTTTCTTCGCGATTTTTTCTTCACTTTCTCTTTCTATATTTCTCTTTTTTGTTCTCTTATTTTCTCTTATCTCGAAGAACACGTCCAAATTCTCAGTGATACGGTTCGTTCTTTCTTTTTACTCCTTCCCTTCTGGAATGTGTTTAGTAAGATTGCGTAGTGGTTCAGACGACGCAGGGCCACGGACTGGCGACAGAGGCTGTCAGTCTCAACCGTAACACCTGCCGCCATACAAGCTCTATTTGGGGCTCTGCTTAGACTCTGAAGCAATTCGCCTCGTTGTGTGTATTGTTGCCTGTATAACTTAAATCTTCCTTCATAGACGCCCTCTAATCATCTAATCGCGTTTCACTTTTCTTGCTCTCTCTCTCTCTCTCTCTCTCTCTCTCTCTCTCTCTCTCTCTCTCTCTCTCTCCATGATAATTCAGTTTTATTCCCTTTCTCGTGTCCCTAAGGTTTTCTTCACCTCCCGCATATCTCTTTCTTTCCTTCTTTCTTTCTTTCTTTCTTTCTCAGACTCTTTCTATTTATCCTTTTCTTTCTTTTTTCTCTTCTTTCTTTCTTTCTTTCTTTCTCAGACTCTTTCTTTTTTCTCCTCTTTCTTTCTTTCTTTCTCAGACTCTTTCTATTTATCCTTTTCTTTCTTTTTTCTCTTCTTTCTTTCTTTCTTTCTTTCTTTCTTACTCAATATTCCTATTTTTCTTTTTCTTTCCTTCTCATTTCTATTCCTATTATCTATCTTTTTTCTTTCTGTTTTCTTTCTTTCTTTCTTTATTTCTTTCTTAGTCTATTCCTATTTGTCGATATTTTTCTTCCTTTCTTTCTTTCTTTTGCAATCTGTTCCTATTTACTTTTCTATCTTTTCCTTTCTTTCTTTTTTTCTCGGTCTATTCCCATTTATCTATCTTTTTCTTTCTTTCTCGCTCTCTTCCTCTATATCCATCTCTCTAGTATTTTTTTCTTTTGTTCTATCTTCCTCAATCTATTCCTATTTATCTATCTTTCTATTTTTCTTTCTTTCTTTATCATAAAGTGTTCCTTACCCCCACCCCGGCCAACACTCTCCCTCCTCGATCTACCTTTCTTTACTTCTATCTCAGCACTAGAAGATGCAGTCCAGAATACATACGTTGTCTGTCGTAAACTTTTGTAGTCGACAGCCAAAAGACGATTGAATATTTGATGTTAATACTTGGGGCACTTGACCAAATTTGGTACATGGACACATTCACAGGACATCTAGTGCAGAATCAACTGTCTCTAAAGCATTCTTGATACACGAGAAATTTAAAAGAAATTGGAATATATACATATACGACTCGTTGTACGAGTATGACCATCGCTGACAAGTTTGATCCATATTTTTAGCTCTTGTAAGAACAATAATGACGCTTGAAGCCAGTAAGTGACTTGCAATGCTATAAAGCGTCTGGCTTTTTTTGTAAATTCTAAATTATTCAACCAAAGGCCGCCAGTGTGTAAGTCAGCAGCTACGTGCACCCAGCTAGTCTGATCTGTACGCGTCGCCGTACCGTCACTTCAGTACTGTACTTCAGAAACTAAAGCAACAATAGATGTTAAGATGATAGCAATGGTCGTGCTGAGATTATAGTCGTATTCGGCTAGCACAACACCGCGAAAAATCCATACGATCTATCCCAGAGACAGACGTATGCATGATGTACGATTTAGCACTGTGGCAGGTATTATATCAAAGTGTTCCTTCTCCTAGTCAGATATCTTAACAAAGGCTTGGCATCCATAACTGCCAGCGGGCTACTCGCACCATGCGCCAGGAGACAAACCAAATATTTCTATGTCACTTCTCCCGCGCACACACAAACGACCAACATTGTGTGTGTGTGTGTGTGTGTGTGTGTGTGTGTGTGTGTGTAAAAGTGGACATTTAGGTCAACACCCGGTAGAGATATCCTGTTTCATGCTTAAACGCAATATTGATGGCCTGAAGATTCAGTTTAAGCATGAAACAGACTGTCGCCGAAGGGTGTTGACCTCAATGCCCACTTTTATATTTACATATGCTCTATCCCTCATATTTACCACTTTAACTCATAAATATAGTATACCTTAAAACAATATTTTTATATATATATATATATATATATATATATATATATATATATATATATATATATATATATATATATATATATGTATATATATATATATATATATATATATATATATATATACATATATATGTGTATATATATATATACATATATATAAGCATATATATACATATATATATACATACATATATACATATAAATATATATATATGCATATATATACATATATATATACACACACACATATTCATTCATATCACCCCAAGCAAGGTGTTAATGCAAGTGATTACAGGGAGCGAAAAACTGTGAAGATTTTAGTAGAAGGGACCGGAAACCTAATCCTAAACAGGAAACAAGGGATAAATCTCTACTCCTGTTCAGAAGACGGAGGAGTCAACCTGGCGATAGGTGGATCTATCTACTTTTCCTGAAAAGGCTTTCTTTTTTTAGTGTGTTTTTCTTTCGTGCGAACAAGAGATGATTTTTTTCTTTGGACTTCAAATGTTTGTTCCAAGCGATTTTGGCTATTCTATTAGCCATAAAAATAATAGATGCCTTATGAAAATAAAAATTACAAACATAACAAAATCAACCCAGAACACGGACATAACGTATTGGCCGTATTTGGAAATTTTAAATATGCCCTGGGCAGCTTGCATCAGCTTAGGCACCATTTCTTAGCGGACAACCAAAATCCTTGAAAATAATTCAGTACTGCAGATTGCCTGTCCGAATTTCAATGTCTTGTTCTGTTTTTTTGCTCAAGTATTTTCAGGTTTCGGGTGATGTAATGGATTTCAGAGCGGAAATCGGAATTGAGGAACCAAATTAAAAATTCGAAATTGCGTTCACTTTTGCACTAATGACTTTAGGAAAGACATTAATCCGTCTCTTCACGTCGCCTCCCACTATTGGTTAAATACCAACGTAGACTGGATTCTAGCATTCGAGGGCAAGGAAGTGAAGGAAAACTTTGAATTTCAAACCGTGGAGTAGGTAACGGGAAATAATTCTAATATCTTTCACAAGAGTGCATGGTAAGTCACAGATAATAAAGCAAAGGGATGTGTGGAGAGTAGTGATCGCCTAAATTCTGGAGGGATACAACATTAAAAAAAATAGACTGTCAGTCATTAAAAAACTTGGTTTTGTCAGTGTAGTAGACAAGATTTTGTTGGCTACATGGTGTCATTTTTGGAGCGCTGGGATTCAAATTAGTCTAAAGGAACGTCGTATATCTAACAGCCACATAAAGCTAGACCACGCCAAAAAAGATTAGTTTGGTTTGGTTTGGTTTGGCTTGGTTAACGGCATATCAACCTCAATAGGTTATTTAATGCCAAGATTTTTATTGCTGGTAATATTTTTTTTAATCTGTTGCTGGTAATTCTTTTTTTTTTTCTTTTTTTTTTCAAAAAATGTACTGCTGGCAATAATTTATTGCTGGTAATAATTTTTTCCTTCAAAAATGTATTGCTGGTATTTTTTTTCCAAAATGTATTGCTGGTAATTTTTACACTTTCATAGTGTTTTGACCGCAGATTTGGGGTTTAACTATTTGCCCATAGCTGGGACTCTAACAGGTGCTACCTCCCCATGTCAATTAAGAGGTGGTTCCGTGCTCCTCATAACCTCTTGATCAGAGGCCTTGATGTCGGATATAGTTTATCGTCTTACCCAGAACCCGGATGTAGTTTATAGTCAGTCCCAGAATGGGGAAAAAATTGCATTAAATATTAATACATGTTATTTCGTTCGCATGTGGCGAAATATGTTTTATTATACATGGGTTGTTTCTTTTGTATAATAATAATAATAATAATAATAATAATAATAATAATAATAATTATCTATTTATATACTATTATATCACCCAATACAAGGCTTAAGGGCCACTCAAGGCCCAGTGTTACTGAACGAGATTGTTACAGCGGGGAGGTAGTATAAAGTACACACTATGAGGACGTATAGGATATATACGGGTTGACCAAGGATTTGAAGAGATCAAGAAACACGTTGTCAGGGAAGCATTCTCTCGGGAGGGGTTATTCCACAAAGTGTTACTAAAATTTTATGTCTTTCCTTGGAATTAGCATTTTATAGTATTTTGGTATTTGGTCTACTAGTATTTGTTTTATGTTAATATTTGTATTTTGTTTATTTTATGCGAAAATAATAATAATAATAATAATAATAATAATAATAATAATAATAATAATAATAAAAGTTCTCGTCGGTTGAATTTAATAAAACTTGTTTGGGTGAATATTTGTTTCCGAAATATATCCCAGCATACAAGTATAGATATTTCTGTGCTGCCATCAGCTTTTGCCTGTCAGACGGCCATGTTCATTAACGCCCTGCAGTTAATGTTCCCGACGTATTTTGAAAGTTTCGTAATTTGTCATTGTACGGTTGTTAATATGCAGTACGAATCGAATACCTCTATCGAGACCTGAACTCACATCCCATCTGCCACGAAAAGCCTGTTTTCATGCAACAGCTGTCTTACCGAAAAGGCAACCATCCGCAAAACCTTAATTATAATTATAGAGCATTCTTTATTCTCAACGAACGCATGATTCGCTTACATATGCTAACAGTAGCAATATGATCTTAAATGTATTTTATTAATATTTAGACTAACATTTCTTTTATTTTAACATCACTAGCTTTTTATCACAGTATCTCAGACCGTCGTTCTGCATCTGGTATTAAGCAGCAATGATCGTCAATAAAGAGTAAGCTACTTGCCCTTGTGACCTAATCGGTAAAGCACCTGTGGTATTAATACAGGCTTCTTAAGGAAAAGTGACATATGTTTCACTGGGGGCTTATTCTTTATTTCCAATTTGCACTTTTTTCCATTTCTTTTTTTTCGGTGGTGGGGAAGTAAGTTAGTTATGCAGGAATCAATGCATCATTATCATCATCATCATCTCTTTCTCTCTCCCCCCTCCCCATTTCTATCTCTCTAAGATTTGGGCAACAGATTTCATGCCTAAAGAATATTAAGTACATAAGAATCCCCTTCTTGAAATTCCCGCCTTGTATTCATTTTGTTCTCCGCACCTGGCATTGTTCTATTTCGGCAGGCTTATTTTGAGTTATAAACGAGCAAACTATTGCACTTTAAAAACTTTGTAGAACAATGGATGATTTCATCTAATACATTTAATCTTTTAATCTAGTACCTCTCTTTTTTTTTTTTGTTAACCCCCTTCTCTCGCTCTTTCTCTCACGCTCTTTCTCTCTCGCATTCTTTAATTCAATTTGCATATCCTATCCTATTGTCTTACCTTACATTCTCTAGACACAGTCTACCTTTCTCATTTTCCCTTCTTTCTTTCATTCAGCTCTTTCCTTATTGTTTTCTTTTATTTTCTTCTACCTCTTTTTCTCTCTCTCCCTCTACTTCTCCTCCCACTTCTCTTCCTTTCCTTTCTGTCGATTTTCTTTCCGTATTTTCCCTTTTCCTTTACTTGTCTTGCTAACCCTTCCCTTTTTGATTTTCTCATTATGCCGTTCATTGTTTTTCCCCTCTCTCATATAAATCTAGGTACCACCACAGAAACGCGATACCTAGGATCTGTCTATATTTCTGAGATGAGATATTGTAACTATTTACACTATTTACATTGTTCGGTCTGTGGTCCTCCTCTTTATTGTCACATTGGCGATGTTTCACCGGGATGTTTCGGCTTGAAGGTGAAGTTTATTTATCAGCCCATTTCAAGAAATAAAACATGGGAAGACTGCCTACACAAACGTCATCAAACCAATCCTCAGAAACGCCAATATACAGATTGACTACTCTGGGTCCGGATCGAAGTTCAAACAAATATCACATGAACAAGGCCTGAGCATACAATGGCCGAAACTTTGTGAAAGTGACAATAAAGATGAGGACAACAGCCCGAATAATGTAGTGTAAAGCAATTTCTGAGGTTTAAATTGAAATTTTTACAATGAAAAATATTTCTTGAAACTTTTATTTTAATTTTAATTTCAAGCTAATAGATTAAGTTTAGTGTTCCCAATAAGAAAAATACTTTGCTGCATCTCAAAACTAATTTAAATTGACCGGAAAGAGTTTTTGTTTTGAAATCGCTAACAATCGCTGATTTTAGCGCCATTTTAGCTATCTGTCTAAACAATAAAATTCTCGTTATTAAAGATCTTTCAAAGATACAATATACTTTTCTGAAACTTTATTTGAGGAATATTAGCTGATTTAAGGTTTAATTAATCTAATTTGAAACAAATATTACTTACCTTTAGTTCAAAATATCGCAGAAATGCATTTTTAACACAGAGATATGTGGTTATTTAAGGTGTTGAAAGGTTGACAACGTAACTGACAGACGGAAGTTTATTTAACTTTTTCTATGTTGGACATATCTGTAAAAATTACTAGAAGAATATAACGTTAAAACCATTTTTATATAATTTTTAACTACCCAGTCAATTATGTGCCATACGCGTTACATGCTTAGGCGATCATGTATTTTTCAATACATGACTGACGAGGCAGACTTCTTCCCGCAGTAGGTTACCATTTCTTTCTGCGGTAGACTAGTTAACATTCAAGGCTATAGAACCCGTTCTGTCCTGCTATTTACCCATAGGGGGGGGAGAAGACGAGGATTCATACCTTTCCCAAGGGTATTAGCTCGTAAGTGAATGTAATGGATTCGACTCTCCGATTCCTCAATACGAACCATTATTCATTATCCATTATTCTACCGTGCCTCCCACTACCAAGTAATCTTAAAAATTTAGGAAAATATTCTCAGCAATCTAATGTTTTATTTAATTTATGATACTTTGGCTTTAGATTTACTATAGTTATTGCTCTTATTTTCTGTTTATGTCGTATTTACAAAAATCGGCTTGTTTATATGCACGCACACACAAAAAAATCAAAATACTTGTTAAAATATTGGGGGTCGCTGAATTATAGTAAGCGTTTCTATATATGATTAGTAAACATAGTTTTTACTTAATAGCAATATCATCTGACAAGTAAAAATTAATACAGGAATTTAAAAGATTTAAAACTGAATAAATTATTATAATTAAAATTTAAAATCAATTCTTGTAAAATTTCATTATTCATCGAAATGTTTTTTTTTCTTAAGACAATAGTATCTATAATATATCTTATTCATAAAAGCAATTAAAAGCTTTTTTTAATTAAATAATGTCTTAGTTTTATTTTATTTTTCTATTTTACGGTTCAGAGCAAATTTTTGGTAGTCGGGGGTGCTGTTTTACAAAAAAAAAATGATGACAATGACTATGTCGCAACTAGTATAAAAATTACGCGGTACACAAATTAATTTCTCGAATAAGTGTGGGGGGTAGCATGTGTAAAAATATTTTTACCAAATTTTCTAAAACAAAAAAAGAAAGCTTTATAAAATAATTACATTCATTAGTGAATAGTTTCTGAAAGTTTCAGTAAAATCTAACAATTATTTGATTTTTTGCAAGAATTTCCAAATCAATGTTTTTTACGTAAAAAAACGCCAAAATTTGGTCTCCCTGCTGACGCAAGAAAAACAAGATTTTTAAACAGAATTTCAAAACTACTTTGGTCTTTTTCTTTTAATAGTAACATAAATATTTTGACGATAAAATGTTGTTTTTATTAAATCTGCAGCATTTTTCCATCATGGTATGTCCATTATTAGCGAATTTCTGGAGGTACCTATATTAAATTAATCCTTTTAATCCACTTTCAATATCTATCTTCTCCCTTACACACTTCTGAAAGGTTTCCGCTTTTTGCTCTTTTTTTCTTTCCTACACAAACTCATCTCTCTTTCCTTGCTCTCTCTTTCTCTCTCCCCCCCTCTCTCTCTCTCTTCCCTTCTCTTTCTCGAAGTGTATCTTTACTGTTTTTCTCTTAATTTCTCTTTTTTATTTTCTCACTCACTCACACGTTTCATGTTTTACAGACGAGAAGCGTAACATCAGCCGATGCCTGACTGACTATCGTCAGGCAATTGACAGCAGTCCTAATAATAAAAACACAAGCCATTCACTCGCTGAAAATCTTTCTGTCTCCTGCAGAGGAAGTAACATATTTTTGTTTACATACTGAATATTCAGGGAGTGGCCGATCATGGTTCTCCACAACTTCATATCCTTTGTCCATTTACACAAGCTAATTAGGTAAGCTACTTGATACTTCCAATTTGTACCTCTTGTCTTCAATATATCCCGTGAGTGTCAAATTTTCTCAGCACTCTTTCCTCATTATGTGCCCTAGAAATGTCATCTGTTTCTGATTTTTAAGTACAGATGTTCTTTTAGCTCCCATTTTTCTTAAAACCTTCACTTTACCTAAATGTTCCGTCCACAGTATACCTAACACCTTTCTGTAAAACCACATCTTTGTTGACTCAGGTTTCTCCTTCATTTGTGAATATAGGAGGCTAATAACAAAGGTATTACATAGCAGTTCAAAACTAGACAGAATGCATGGTCATGAATAAAAAAAAAAAATGAGTCCAAAATGCGATTTACAGGTTGGGGACACTAAAATCAAACAGGTACGGAAATTTTAAATATCTGGGAAGTGTTTTGACAGAGGACGTTAAGTGTGACACTGACATATGTAGACGAATTAGGATGGCCAATAAAGCATTCCAAAAGCTGGGCATATTGCGGAACAGGAGGATTTCCTTGGTAACAAAGAAAAGAATACTGAGCTGTTACGTGGCATCTGTTCTTCTTTACGGCAGCGAATGTTGGACGATTTCCTCGAAGATGAAGAAGAGACTCGAGGCGACGAAGATGTGGTTCTACAGAAGGATGCTAAGGATATCATGGACTGAACGTGTGAACAACGATGAGATCTTAGGCTGCAAACAAGGAGAAGGCTTATACTTAATATCAGGAAGAGGCATCTTGAAATGCCACAGAAGTAAGGATGAGACGATTTCCCTGTCCGCTCGGTCGCCGTGGCAGGTAACTTGTAATCGTTTTTGTGGGAGCTTAAGAAAGATTGGTCTCAGTCTAAGAGTTGCATAGTATTTTTGATTTTTCTAAGTAGATTTGTACGTTCCATCCAATCCTCTTTCAAGACAAACAGAAGGAGAGCGAGAAGAAGGGACTAAGCATAAAGTACAAGAAGACAGAATGCATGGTCATCAGTAAAAAAAAAAAAAAAAATGACCTCGAAAAGTGATTTGCAGTCCGGAGACGGTGCAGGTGCGGAAATTTAAATATCTGGGAAGTGTTTTGACAGAGGACAGTAAGTGTGATACTGACATATGTAGACGAATTGGGATGGCCAATGATGCATTCCAACAGCTTTGGCAGATTATTGCGAGACAGGAGGATTGGTAACAAAGAAAAGAATACTGAGCTGCTATGTGATATCTATCCTACTTTTATGGCAGCGAATGTTGGACGGTCTCCTCAGAGATGAACAAGAGACTCGAGGCAACGGAGGTATGGTTATACAGAAGGATGCTATGGATATCATGAACCGAACATGTGAGCAACGACGAGGTTTTGGAGAGGATGCAAACAAGGAGGAAGCTTATACTTAACATCAGAAAGAGGCAGCTGAAATTTCTGGGAAACGTCATGAGAAAGGAGGGCCTGGGGAATATGATACTCACATGACGGATAGCAGGAAAGAGAGACAAGGAAAAGCAACGAATGGCATACCTAGCGGGCTTAAGCAAGTGGATGACGGAACAAGGTTTGGGAGAAGTAGCAAAACGAGAAAACATATTGAGAACTACAAGGCATAGAAGGAAATGGAGAGCCATGATCGCCTACGTCTTGAAGGGACACGGCATATAAAAGAAGAAGAAGAATTTGTTTAGTTTTGGAAGGCACCTTTCGCTAGTTAGTCTTTTCTCGCTTTCCTTTATTATCTTGTCAATAATTTTCCAGTTTTCTTTGTATCTGCCAACACATTGGCTTTTGGGTGGAAAGAAAACTTACTCTTCTATCATCAAGAACCAAAATTCACTCCGCTGTAAAATGCCCCAGGTTATATTTTATATCGAAATTAGATTTCCACAAGAGAGGAGAATCTTCTATGGACCGTGTCCTTTCGTAGGCGTTCATGGCTCTCCACAACTTCCTGTCCTTTGTAGTTCTTAGTAAGTTTTGTCTTTTTGCTATCACTCCTAAATCCTTTTCTACTAAACATTTACAAAAGTTTATGTAGTTTATTCGCCGTTTTCCTTTGTACCTCTTGCCTTCAGTATGACTTGTGAGCGTCAAATTCTCCAAGCCCTCTTTCCTCAATATGCGACCTTGAAATGTTATTTTCTGATTCTAAGTCTACTTCTTGTTTCCATTTTCCTTAAAACTTCGTTGCGACTTACATGTTCAGACCCTGGTATTCTCAGCATCCTTCTGTAGAACAACATTTCTGCTACTTCTTCCCAAGGGTATTATCACGTAAGTGAATGTAATGGATTCGACTGGAATTCGAACTCGGCTCTCCGATTCCTCAATCCAAGCCGTTATCCATTACTCCACTGTGCCTCCTTCCAAGGGAAATAATGTGATAAAATGCAACAGATCTATCTTACATACTTATAAGTCTAAGTTATTTATTCAAACTTTGAATATTGCTTCTACATCTGGTTGGGTGCTCCTGCTATAATGTTTATAGATTCTTGATAAAATCCAAAGAAGAATTTGCAATGTTATTGGTCCTGACCTGGCATCTCGTCTTCAGTCATTTTCCCACCGCCGTCACGTAGCTTCTCTCTACTTTTTCTATAAATACTTTGATGGTAATTCTTCTGATGAAGTTTCCTCCGTGGCACCTAGATTTATGAATTTAAGTGCAGTACTAGATTGGCGGCAAGGTCTCATCATTTTACAGTTGTAATGGCTAGATGTAACCTTAAGTTCTATGCTAACAATTTCGTCTACCGCACTTCTCGCTTGTAGAACTCTGTTCTGGCTACTTTCTTCCCAGTCAACTTTGATTTTTAAAAATGTAAATGCAATGTCAATCATTATCTTCTGTCTTATTATTCGTTTATTGTTCTGTCTGCTTAATAGTGCTGTTTTTCTCATATTCTCTCACACTCAGTAACACCTTTCTATTATAGGTTTTATTACCTTGCTTAGGGTAAAATGGTTAATATATATATATATATATATATATATATATATATATATATATATATATATATATATATATATATATCCCAAATAGGCGCAGCTTATCTAGCAATTTAATATCTAATGAAAAATAAACAATTAATTTCCTTAAAAAAGAAATGAATTAAAGCGTAAATTCATGCATAAACACACATTTAAGTATCTATTTGTAGTGCTTCCTTGACAATGTTGGTTTGCAAGATTTAATAATTTATTTCACTTATCTATTGTTACATAGGTCACAACGAAAAAAAAAGCTTTACGTGGTCGATCAAACGAATTCATTCTTCTTTTGTCATCCATGAACTGTTATGGCTTCTTTGGAAATATAATGGAGTGGTTTCCCATTGTCGTCTCTACGCTTTGTAATTCAGAGTATTAACTGAAATTGCCGCTACCCAAGACTACAAAACTCAGTCTCTGCTGTGGTGAAAGTGAGACATGGGTTCATGCCTTTCCCAAGGGAAATAATGTGATAAAATGCAACAGATTAGGCAGCAACTTGAACCCGGCTCGCGGATTCCGATTTTGGTCTCTAGGTTTGTTACGCTACGATCACATCCAGTCTAAACTTAACCAAATAAATATCAACAGATTGATAATTAGTAAGGTACTTCTTGTGACAGACATCACTCGTAAATTTGATCTTTACTCTATGGTCTTGTTATTGTATGTGTGTTTTTGTGAGAAGTAAATATCTACACACACACACACACACGTAGACACACACAAACACACACACAAAAACACGCATATATATATATATATAAGTATTTAAGTAAATGCTCAGTTTATAATATTTTATCATATAGCCTGACGTGCCTTACCGCTCGAACGCTCCTTTGTGGCCGATTGGTAAGGCACGTCAGCGTAAATGACGGTTCCGTATAGGATACAGGTACGAATCCTGTCGAAGGACGAACATTTTCTATGAAAATTTCTCGGACATTCAGGCCGGTAAATGTTATTTAATACTGTTTATTATAAACCGAGCATTTACTTAAATACTTGTATCTTCTATCTATGGTAAACATAAAAATGTCTTTAAATATATATATACACAGGGTTCCTCACAGCAAAACAAAGACAAAAGTCCATATGGATATATGTCGCAAATCCTTCTTTTTTTTGAGTTATTAATTTTAATTAATATTTACGGTAGATGGTGCTATGTTAGGTTACATTTGTCATTCGTGTACGTTTCTGTGTGTAGTAGTGAGTTAAGTGAGAAGTGTTCCGTTTAACAATGGCAGGAATTTCATATCATGAGCAGTCACAAACTATGGATGCATCGAGGAAGACCGAGAATTGCTCGTACGCCTGACCACGATGAAGACATTCTACAGGCTGTCGGAGACGATCCAGGTATCAGCACACGTCAAGTGGCCGAAGCATATCTTACATCTCATAGTACCGCATGAGAGATACTTCAAGAACTGCTCCTGTACCCGTATCATTTGTATCGTGTGCAGGGTCTTTTGCCCTCTGATCACTCACCATAGAAGAACTTTTGCTGATAGTTTATTGCACAAACTGCCGATTCGTTGTTTTGTCTCTTCATTCTTGTTTACGGATGAGGCATCATTTGGAAGAGATGGAAACATTTGTGGGTGGATCGGAATCCCTATGGTACAATACAGGCTAGACACCAGCATCAGTTTACGATTAATTTGTGGGCTGAAATTGTAGGTGACCGACTGGTAGGTCCGTATGTTCTCTCAGCATGACTTACAGGAGCTATCTACAAGGACTTTATTTCGAACACACTTCCAGACATGCTAGAGGATGTACCCCTGTTAATACGAAGACGATGTGGTTTATGCAAT